CAACGTAAGACTGAAAAGTAAAATTAAACAAATAATAGTCTAAGTACAACGTGAGACTGAAGAGTAAATGGAACAAATATGTCAAGACAACGTGAAGAACTGAAAGGTAAATAAAACAAATAATGTCAAGACAACGTAAGACTGAAAAGTAAATGGAACAAATATGTCAAGACAACGTGAGACTGAAGAGTAAATGGAACAAATATGTCAAGACAACGTGAGACTGAAAAGTAAATGGAACAAATATGTTAAGACAACGTGAGACTGAAAAGTAAATGGAACAAATATGTCATGACAACGTGAGACGGAAAAGTAAATGGAACAAATATGTCAATACAACGTGAGACTGAAGAGGACGCATGAATGTGTCGAAACTAGTTTTTCAAATGTTTCGATGGTTTGTTATATTTACTGTGTTGTTTGCACTAACATTTTAATTGTGTTATAGTTGACCTAATTATCTGTTCAAGAAACGTAATTTGTGTTGTAGTGAGTCAATTTACAACACAACTTTTTTACAGCGTATTGTTACGTCTCCGTTCGTTAGTTAATTTTCCGTAAATTCGTTCCGACGAAACTTTAGCGACACAAGTCCTTTCTTAAATAAAACTGGTTTATTCTTTCCGAATACAACTTTACGATACACTTAATTTCAACAGTCGCTCTATAACAAACGCTATAATTCTCAAAGAACGTCTCACGTGCCCAACAGTATTCTCTCTGTCAGCATACATTCAATTACTCAACCTCCCCGTCGCTTCGTAGCCGGTCTTATATATACAAGACTACACTATATCTAGAAGGATCACGAGATTTAAGGAAAGGACGTGAATGTTCGAGAATGACGTGGCGTGATACTAGTCACGTGACCTCGATGTCGTAACACTATGTTTAAGAGGTACCACTGAAATGACGTTTTAAGTGGATGTGTTACATCGAGGTAGATATCCCTCATCGCTAATTAAAAATTACAGTACCTTCGAAACCTAACTGAAAGCGTTACCATATAGCTAGTTATCTCGTGTTCTCTAAATAATATTCTCCTCTAAGCTTGTCATTAGTACGTTAATATATGTAACTACAAAACAGATTTACATACACATTGATATAAACATGATCGAAAAGCCCTGTGACTGCTAAAATAGATACATTTATAACAATGTATGTACATTTTAGCAGTTAGTTTTATATTTACCTTAAGAAAGTTATCAAAGCACATTTAGATTTTGTTTAGCCAGGAAACATTATTTCTTGCTCAATAATCAGCTGGAAGAAGAAGAAATATTAATCTTTGCGGTGTCGTTGATGATCATAAATTTAATAGTTTGGATTCATATTAAAATTTCATAAAGACTGTACGTATTGGCAGTAGGCTTAGCGATTACAGTTTTTTTTTAAATCTGTATTCTAACTTGTAGCTAGAGAGTCCATAATTCTACATCTGTGGCAATTCTATCTTGCGGATACTGCGGAAAATTTTCATTTCACATTTAAATAACTTCATCGAAATATGAAATATTAATATATTTTAATCTGAATGTAGTCTTTAAACTATCTCGTAATATGATACAAACCGTTCATATTTTTTCCTTTCTCCACTTGAATGTATTTTTGACCATTTCTACAGCTGCGTCCATGTCGCCATGTTGGTGTCTTATGAATCTTTTACAGTAAAAATCGTCGTCTTTTAAACGTTGGACGTCCCGTGGATCATAGAGATCTGAAAGACAAAGTCCATTCCTAAACCATGGCTCTTAACTTGACTTTCAGGTCTTACCTACTAGGTATAGACATTCGAATATATTTTTCACTATTCTTTTATATTGTCAAAATCGTTTTGAAACGTAGAGTGAGAAGAACGTTCAGATAATTAACATTATAAAAATATGACTTTGAAGAGAATAATTTATTTTAAAGCTATATATATATATATATATATTTCTCACTTGTATGGAAAAAATTTAATAGAACTCCAGGTTTCACGAGAAAATCAGCTGATACAAAAACCTTTTTCTATGTATCTAAACCGTAGAGTATATTTCAACTGACCTTTAGTATCTGAAATACTCCCAGAAGATACATTTCTTGCTAAAACTTTGGGGTAAAAAAAATTGAAAACCAAACAGTTGTCTTTAATTAATCTTACAACGAAGCATTTTTACCGAATTCTGTGAGCTGTAAATCTTATTTCATTTCTCATTTTTATAATAATGCTACAATAATTCTTCTTTTCTTGTCTGAACATTTGATATAAAAAGAATAGCCAACTTCTGGTAATGGGATGACAAATAAGTTTAACATTAAAAAAGCTCTTCCCTCTCACCTTCCAGTGGCTCAGCGCTAAGTCAGAAGACTGATAACGCTATAAACGGGTTTCAATACCAGTGGTAGTTACAACACAGATAGCCCATTGTGTAGCTTTATGCTTAACAACAAATATACAAGCATCAGAACATCTGTTGGTGCAAGGTAAGATCATTTGTTGTTTACGTAGAAATGCAAGAAACAGTTTTTTTTTCAGTGGATTATTATTTTAACGTGTTTTTTTTGAAGTCTTATGAAAGAAAATCGGTCAACTTAACCTAAACACTGGTATAATTATGTCATAAAAAGTAATGGTATGTACATGAAGTTATTAAAAAAGAAAGTAACTGCGATCAAATGTCTTGCTTTTTTCTATTTGTTTTCATTTTACATTTCACAACATATTGAGGCCTTTTATGTATTTACTAACGACCAACTAACGAAACTAGGAAGGATTTTTTTCAAGCTAGGTATTAAATGTGACATTACCCTCAAACCAGAAACTGGTTTCAGTACAGAAATAACCTTTAGTCTTTTCCGTATTTGTACAAATCGGAACGCCATCTGTTAGCTTAAGTTAAATTCATTATTCGTAAAAAAAAAAAAGCTCTAAAGTCGTTTTACAATAGCACGTTCCATATTTATTTGTGAAATGCTCCCAGTTATTATGCACCCTTGTAACTAATCTGAAGAAAGCATTTCATTAACTTATGGATTGTATATTAGAATATTTTAAAGTTCCTGATAGACTGATTTTACTCAAGTAACTGGAAGCTATTGTTACTCCAAAGTTTCTTTTTAAAAAAGATAATATAGTAATATTCTTACTCAAAATTAGTCTGAAATGTTGACTGTAGAAAGGTGTGTGAATATGATAAAGATCTACAAAGTTCTGAATCACTGATTCACAAAAAAGCAACGTGGTAATAGCAACTCATGAGAAACTGTTATTTTTAGCCTGAGGTGGTTATGCAACTTCAGTTACCATGGGATTATAAGTTACTTACCTAGACTACGTAACAATACTTAGAATATTCAGATACAGAACTAGCTCCATAAAGTTGTTGCAATGAATGAGGCAAAAGCTGTTTAGCCTACTTTTTTTTTACATTCACGGAATACGCATCAGTATTCTAGGCTAGTGTTATTAAGGATTATAAATATATATATAAATAATATAAAGCTTTAATGTCAGTTTTAGCTGGAAAATATAGTGTATACATAGATAGACAATTCACAAAGCTGAAAAATATTGAATTTTCATTGAAGAACAGTTGTCACGTATTTTACAAAGTTTCTAGATCATTTCACTTAGTTTGGTTTGAAAATATACACCTGGAAAAAAGTTAAGCACCCCTAAATATTTTTCAGAATTGCTTATTGAAAATAAGGTTTAATTTTCATGATGTTGAGCAATGTTCATAATTTCAAACATAATTAAAAAGATGTGAGCGTTCAGGTGTGACATTTAAATCAGGCGTCGTTTTTTTCCCCACGTGCAACTTGCTCCTTCTTCACGTCCAA